TATCTATCTATCTATCTATCTATCTATCTATCTATCTATCTATCTATCTATCTATCTATCTATCTTTATATAAAGTGAGGAAAATAACATTCAATGGGATTTTACAGACAACAGTGCCCTCTAGTGATAAGCAGATGGAGTACAGAGAGCAACTTTAATTTCACTTCCAGAGACATGAGCCTGGGGAGCTTGATTGAGCTCAACTACAGTCGTAAATCAAGGACCCCTTGCACATATTATATAATTCTGGATTTAGTACTATAACTGCCTAAAGTCAAATTTGCAACACCAATAACCTTTTATTTTGTTCATCAAAAAGCATGCATGTAATAAATGAATGTGATATAAGGGATGAAGTAAGTAAATAGCATATAAGGGATTTCCTGTTTGTTTGTTTGCTATACAAATTGAAGCATGACATTGAAAAGGTGTTGAGAACTATTGGGGAATTAATTTCTCAAAACACCATTATTATTATTTTTCCTCCAAGAAACTGTTTTGATTCTCCAGGAAGAAGCTGGAGAAGCAGTCAAATTCACAGCTTGAACCACTGATTTTTATTTCAGTGATGGACAAAAATATTTGGTGTTTTGCGCCTCCTCTGACGTCCCTTTGCAGATACAGAAGGCAGTTGACGTTGTCTCTGGAGATGGCAAAGAACTCTTTATGGATTCTGCATAGACTTATTTACGGGCATCATACAATCCATTCCAGTCCATTCCCTGTTGACTGTCTCACACAACTCCCAACTCCCTATTGTGAACCATTATTGTTTCCTTGTAACTGGAAATGCAGAGGTTCCCTTCACCTTCAGTTCAAAAACAGAATATCTCTTTGGGCTTCTATTTTCACTAATTTATAAGGGTCTCCCTTTTTTTTAAGTCTAAAAATATTCTACTCATCCATGGAGTATTCTAATGCTATGATGCAGATTGATCACCTGCTCCTCAGTTCAAAGACTCAAAGTATATATTGCCACCAGAAGTTGTGAATGCTCCAAGAGTTTTAAAGAAGATGTTGGATAACCATTTGTCTGAAGTGGTGTAGGGTCTCTTGCCTAAGCAGGGGATTCGACTAGAAGACCTCCAAGGACCCTATCAACTCTGTATATTTTTTCTATTCTATTCTATTCTATTCTATTCTGTTCTGTTCTGTTCTGTTCTATATTATTCTAAAATATACTAAGGAAGATCTGTAGGACATCAATCCATGTTTCTTCCTATAAATAAAATTTAATTGTTTAAAAGCTACCAACTGTAGTTTATTCTACAGCCTCTAGTTTCCCTCCCCCACCCCTCTATCAAAAGGCCACCTAGGTTAAACAGGGCTTCCTTGAAAATCAGATTTGAGGATCCACAACCTGTTATGAAGATTTATTTAGTGCTTCACATTCAACTTCCTGTCACTGAATTATTTTGGAAAGCTGATCAAAGGAGGAGAAGGTTTTTGCTTAGCATCAGATTCACTTCCTCTCACTGTGTATCTTGCACAGTAATAGACTCCTGTGTCCTCAGTTTTGAGGCTGTTCATTTGCAGATAGAGCTGGCTTTTGGCATTGTCCCGGGAGATGGTGAAGCGGCCCTTGACTTTGTCTGAGTAGTAAATAGTACTGGCATCATATCTTATGTACGCTACCCAATCCAGTCCTTTTCCAGGAGCCTGTCTCACCCAGTTCATGCTGTTATCAGCAAAGTTGTATCCAGAACCTTGGCAGGAGAGACGGAGGGACTCTCCAGGTCTTCTCGCATCCCCTCCAGATTCCAACAACATGACCGCAGAGTGGACACCTATAATGAAAGTTGTGTCAGTGAACTTTCCAGTATGCAAGAATAAAAATGGAAAAAAGCCAGATGTATCTGCAAATGAACAGCCTCAAAACTGAAGACACAGGAGTCTATTACTGTGCTAGGCACACAGTGAGAGGAAGTGAATCTGATGCTAAGCAAAAACCTTCTCCTCCTTTGAGCAGCTTTCCAAAATAATCCAGTCACAGATAGTTGAAGGTGAACACTAGATAAAGTTCATAGCAGGTTGTGGATCCTCAAATCTTATCTTCAAGGAAGCCGTGTTTAACCAAGGTGGCACTTTGGTAGAGGGGTGTGGGAGAGAATCTCGAGGCTGTGGTATAAACTAG